ATAAGTAATTAGTCATAGACTTCAACTATCAAATCACACCCTCAATTTGTAAATCTATTTTAAATGTGTATAAAATTACTTATATACTAAAAATCAATAAGATTTTTTTAATGCATTTGACTTTTATTTGACTCAATTATATTTGTTGAATGCATTTGACCTTCATTTGATTAAACTAACTTTTTTTTTTAATCTATTTGACTTCATTTGATGTAGTTGTCTCAATGAAAATATTATGTATCAAAAATTGAATCAAATGAAATATTTTCATTGAGACAACAACATTAGATACATTGACTAATGAAAGTCAAGCTGATTCAAACAAAGCTAATTGAATCAAATGAAAGGCAAATTCATTCAACAAACCTAATTAAATTAAATCAAAGTCAGATGCATTCAACAAAACAAGTATATACTAAATCAAAGTCAAATGCGTATAATAAACTGGAACTTCCTCCAAAATATCCCTAATTAATCAACAATAAAAGCTCGCAACAAAAATTAACAATTGAATAAACACCCAAATTTCCTTTATTGACGATTGATATTGGTGACTCCTCTGTTTTGATTTATATTCAGAAATATTTGTTGTTGTGGTGCTATTTATTGGTAATTAGATAATCGTATAGTTAATATGAATAGCTGTCTCAAATCTTCTCAATATTAATTATATTCTGTTGACTTTCAAAATTTTAGTAAGGTCTCCAATTTAAATTAGTTGTTTTTCTTCTGATTTCAGAATAGAGCTTTATTAGTGGTTTTTGAAATCCAAATTGATGCGAAGACATAGGTTGATATGCTCGTAGATACCAGCTAGTTGCTTTATATTCGATTTAAGGTTGCTTTTGTGTTTTTGAATGAATAGATAGTCTATAAAGTTATTCCATTTTTATTATATGACCAAGAACTGTATTGGATTCTATATTGTCTAGAGAATGCAATGGCGGTCGTTCTGAGAATAGAACAGGCCATAAATGGCTGTTACATTCTGATGAGCTATAAAACTTATAACTGATTATATATTTGAAGGAGGTTCATTACCAGTACTAGCATTTGGTGTTTTGTCATATAGAAAATGAATGTACACATAACACATCATACTCAAGTAACTAGGCTAACGATCCACGTTAGGTTTTGTTATTTTTGGGTTTTCATACTATTGGCAAGATATATCTTTAGATCTGTATTGAACATTGCTGATCTATGTATTAAGTGAGAAATATTGAATTTTTATTTGTGGAATGAGAACTCTATCATTTATATCTAAATTGCTAAAGGTTATTGTGGATATTGGTCATTTTTTTCAGCTTAATTTGAGGATAATGAGATAAGCCTTAAAGTCAATAATGCCTTCAGTTTAGAATTCTGTGGAAAGTTTAGCTTGGTTAATATTGCTGCTACATGGCTATGTACTTGTGTGGTGCTTGCTTTGCACTTAATATAATATTTCTGCTTACATTTAGTTTCCAGCATTTAATTTCCTTTGTTTATTACTTTACTTATGATGTACTTGTTTCCATGGGTTTCAAGTGACTTGATGGTGTTTTAAGCTGCTGAGATTGATTATGTGTGCAATAGTTTTCCTAGTTTCATTTTGATGAGTTATTTTTTTTTGCCCTTTTATCAATAAAAGAAAAGTTCACTCTTTTCTGTTGCTACCTACATATTATACATAGTATTAGTTTTCTCCTGTAAATGATTTGCTTTTTATAATTTGTAAGTATGTAGTAATATTATTTTGGAAATGATAAACAACCTGTGTTACTCAAACTTTGCTGGAAGTGTCAGACACAGGTTTGTGTACCTGTCCAAGTGTCAAACTTGATGATCTTATAAAGTTATATATTGCTGCATGATCATGGTCCAAATCATGTGTCATTAAGCGTCTTACCCGTGTCTCAAATCTCAATGTTGATTATACATGGATTCTTGAATTAACATGGAGAGTTGGAGTTACTTAAAAATTACCGGAGTAATTGAGTAATTGACGAGCTTTGCATATTGCTATATTTTATAATTGACCTTGCACACGTCAATTAAATGCACCCTGTTTGCCGTAGAAGTGTCGTGAATAGTCCACCAAGATAATTTTGTATGTCCTGAGTTATGGTCATGGACAATTTTAGTGGGCTGGCCAAAGTTTGACATCGTTACATTGATGTTTGGCAATTGGTTTATTTTTATTTTTTTACTCATTTGGTAGTGTAATGTGCAAGAATGTAAATGTGTTCATTTACGTGCTTCTCTCATGGCAGCTGATTAAAATCTTTCATGATTGTAGCTTATGTTCTGTAAAGTAATGTATTAAAGTTTCACTATCTTAGTGATTTGATAATGTATAGGATTGCTCTTTTTAACTTTTTCTTTCTTTATTTTTTTAAGGCAATATAGTTTTGAAGATTCTATGTAGTATACTAGTCTGCTTTATTTGTGTCTACTGTGAACCAAATTTTCCCTTTCTTCTGCAAGTACCAAATTTCCCCTTTCTTCTGCAATTTTCATAGTTTTATGTAATGTGGTCTTTATTGATATATTTTGCGTGTGTGTTTGTGTGGTCTTAGATCTTATCTTTGAATTATTTTGTTTCCAGGCTGAAGAGGACGAATACGACAAAGTGGCTGTTGGTAGTGAAAATGTTGGTCAACGACTATACATGTCTGATGTGACTGATTATACATCAAATATTAATTCCTATAATGAGCTCCCTGAAACATTAAAGGAGGCCCCCAGAGACCCACGTGCAAATCACATGGCTGCAAAGCTCAGACTTAAAGAAGATGCGGAAACTGCAAAAAGTTTCAATTCATTGCATGTTTCTGATCAAATGGAGGATGATAATTCTGGTGCCCAGAATAATGTACCTGAAGATGAAAACCTTCCCAAGTCAATCTTGAAGCGAAAAGATGATCAGATGGATTCAAAGGCTGGAAAACGAGTGCGGTTTGAGCCCATCTGCAAAAGAGATGATCACAGTGCATCTGAAGATAGAGATAAAATTGTCATGTCAGAAGGTTCTGATGTATATTACCCTTCGTTCAAAGAATCGTCTTCACAGCTGCATGATTCTTCCTTGGTACCAGATTATGTACGCCATCCTTTGAGATATACCCATTATACATTTGATTCATCAGATGATATGAATGAAGAATGTAATCGTCAAGCCTACACGGACTTCCTTAATATGGTGAAGAAGTCCAAGTCAGAACCTGAAGAAGCTCCTGCTGATCTTGCAAAACCTGTAATATTTAACCCAAAGAAAAAAGATGGTGATGCTTCTCTCAATACTAGCAAAAAGGCTGATCATGCAATGGGAGAACCAGTGCAGAAGAAAAGTGTCCCTCTAATTATTAGTGCAGAGGACACAGAAGATAATGAAGCTGCTGAAATGGAGGTAGATGAGCAAGAAACTCCAGTCTTGAAGGTTGGTAATGGAAAAAGAGCAACTCGTAAATATCGCTCCAAAATTATTGAGGAAACAAATGAGCATGATAGTTAATGTATGGCTAGAAAAGACTGCATGATGGGTTATGTAACTAGTTTAGCTTTAAACATTACACATATCAGGAATAGAATATTCAAATGTGTTATTGTCCTGTATATTATAAGCCTAGAATTAGTGCTTCTGATGTACTCTGCTAGTAACAAAGATCAATGATTCCCTTTACTCTCAAGAGTGTGTCATAATATTACATTCAGTACCAATGCACTCCTACAATATTTTAATCGCCTGCCTAATTAAGTTGGAGCTAGAGCTATGCGAGGAAATTGGAGCAGGAAATTACCAGATTATTACAATATTTTAATACTCTGTATCATAAGAACTTTTGTAAATTAACAAGTAGGTGATTTACTTCCCAAAAAAAATTACCAAACTAGTCAAAAAGTACAAAAAAATGTTTTCAAAAAATGACAACAATTGTCAAAAAAAAAATGAAACTGTTTAAAACTTTACTGATAGATATAGGTAAATACGAAGTAAGTAAAGAAGCAGAAATGGATATTAAATTGTGTAGTAGAATTATATTTTTCACTGCATCAGTTCACAATATTAAAACTAGCATTATTATATTAGGTTACATTGCATTAACCAGTTAAAAACTACATGCATGTGAACTTCAATCAATTTTGTATTTTTCTCAATAAAAACACGATTAAAAGGCTTAATTGCTCTTATGTTACTTGCTCTTATATTTTGGGGGAAGGATCAAGGATTCAAGGAAGAGAACTTGGATTTGTTCTATGTCGGAATTGCACCCAAAGCCTAAATTTGAATAATGATGGACTAAGACTACACACAAGATGTCTCTATGGTGATCAAATAGAATCTGATAAAAAAGTAGGCGAAAAAAAGGGGACCACTCTTTTATTGTGGTCTACATTGTGTCACATAGGATAGCCGATAGCTTAAGGTAATCAAATCAAATTTGATCATCGAGAATTTTCAATGCAACAATAACAACAAAAAACTTCCAACATTCAATGAGGATTGGGGGGGTTTTAAGGATACAAACTAGCTTGTTCACCCTCTATAAAGGGTAGCTAATGTATAGGTTTTAAGCAATTGTCATGCAGTGTTTGAGACTGAGCTTGGCAATATCCTAGACAATAAAATGGGTATATCTACATGAGTAAACTGCATTTGAGAGTTTACGTATGTCTGTAAGTCTGTTACAAGTTTTCAAAAGGCCCTGCTAGGAAATTGATGTTTACCTGATGAATTATTTACAACTATGTCTTTAATAAACCCACATCATAGCCAAAAGAACAATGGCAGCTGATTTTTTACCTTTACATATTCTTATTGTGGCTAACATATATATGCAGAGTTTTATTTTTTATATTATTTCTGCGCTTCTCGGAAAATGCAACTCCATGAGAAACAAATATCAACTGTACAGTTACCTTCATATATCTGAACTCTGAAGAGGTGGGAAAATAGACTACTGAATCTACAAGACTACAAGTAGGGAATGAATATAGCAAGAGGAAACACCGACTGCTGAAAGCAAAAAACTTTGACCATCGCCTTAACTACATTTCTTTCTAATATCAGTTCTAATATATTGTATCTTACAAAAATTTGGCCCCTATACTCTTCTATTTTTAAGCACCACAACCTCAGACAGTATTTCATATCTATAAACTCGAGGCTGGATTCGAGCCCTCAGTTTTCTCATAAGAGCAAAAAGAATACACCTAACTGTTAGCATTCTATACAGCATTCTATCACATTCACAAATTCAAACACTGTCCAGCAGTAACCGACTGACAAAAAACTGGTTGCTGAAGCCAATTAGCAGCTTAAAAAAGTCGCTTGCGACAACCCTCAGCACCACAATAGCAAGCCATCTGCTTTACCTTCCCATCAGGGCCAATGACACTGTCAAGCGCATAGCCATAGTCATATGTAAGCTCCTATCAAGAAACAACAATTGTCAGCAGCTAAAATGGCAAACAAGTACCCACAATGACTGAAAAATCTGAATTAATATAACCAACACTAAAACTTCACGAGTTTGAGCAGCTTCACAAACATATACTTCCTCTATTCTTTAAAAAAATGCATTTGGCTTTCACGCTTCGCAACACACGACTTTGAACATTAGTAACTCTAATTATCTACTAATAAAAATTGTTAAAAGTAGAAACCAATTACTTGTAGAGGTGGTATGTTGTCAGCAGCAAAGAGCATCACCCTAGCCAATTTGATGTCATGATGCGAACTCAACACACATTGTACAAAGAGGTTTGGTTCGCAACTATGATTGATAAACCTGGCTAGATTTCCTGTGACACCAGCATCAATGCAGAACTCCACCATACTATCAACAACCTTCTCCTCAGGTTTCTCATGAGCACTTTCAGCAGGGATAGACACGTCTCGCAATCTCATCTGATGACAAACATTATAACAATGAGAAGAGTATTCAGCTTTAACCAACAAACATACCTAATACTGTATACAGGTTTGGTCAGGTACAGTGACAGACAGACATCAAACAGGTCTCAGTGAAAAGAAGAAAGGAGCTCAACACAACTGTCCACAATGCTAATCATCCATATAAAAATGTTATCAGTACATGTACAGCTACAAATGGGTGCAAGTGTGCAGCCACACTTTCAAAAAAAGAAAAGAAAAAAAATCATCTGATTTCTTGATCATTTGACAAGGAAAGATGAGACTTCAATACAGAATTCATTGAGACTTTTGTGAGATTTTAAATATCTTAAATACTTGAACAATCTAAATCCTCAAAGAGTAATGTCATTCATCCGCCCAGGGAAGGCCAGGAAATACTCATAAATTTAGGTAAGCAGGCAATCTGACAAACAAATGTGGTCTTTCTGCAGTGCCACCAACAGGCAGCCTACTTTAATACCCCAAAGTTCATACAATCCACTTTCATCCACTCTTCCATGGATGGTATTAATGACATGAGGAAAGTGATTAAGTTTAGGGTGAGACAATTAAATTAAACCTCAAAAGATAAAACACATCCTCTAATACCTGTCTCCCATCAAGTCCCTTCATGGTTTGAAGGCAATCTATGTCGAAGATGAAATTGTTTTCCAAAACACTGTCACCCTCATCCGATCTCTTCAGAATTCCGGTATATTCACATATTGGGGCACCAGCTGGTATGTAGTCCCACGACCTCACACCCCAACCCTTCTTTGGCGTACGGAAAACCTGCATAGAATCAAACCAACATTATACCATAACAGAAAAGTAATTTTAGTAAATATATAAATTTTAATTGGAAAAACATTAGCACCTCAAAGCGGTATCTCAAGCCTTTCTGGGAAACACGGTTGATGCAAGAAGGACCACAGCCACACTTTGGGCCACACTCGAACACAACAGCCTTTGCTTCAATGAGCCTAAAAGAAAACAAGCATCGTGTAAGAAATTAGCAGAAGTGTAAACAAGCTCATTTATAACTAAATGAAGAGTTTCAAAAGCTTTCAAACACTACTATCTTTTGATTATTGTTTTACCTGCCACCATCCCTATGAACATATGGGAAGTCTGAACCATTAAGCCGAGCACAAGCACATATATTAGGATTGGTGCAACCATCGATGCAATCACATCCACGAGTAGGGGGAGGAATTTTAACATTATCCGCAACTTGGATAGATTTGAAGTATTTGAAACCTAAAATGTGCCATCTCAATCAAATAGAAGGAAATCGAACACACAATAAACTGCATACTAAATAGCCATAGCATCTCACAGATTAATTGACAATGATAACATAGAATAACAGAATCCTTCTCAATTACATAATTAAAGACACAAATGCTTAAAATTTCTAACAAGGGGTCATTCTAACTTGACATCTTTCAATCTGAGTCACAGGATTTTAGAAGCCAATGAGTTCTTGTAGGATTTAAGGCCTGGCATCCTAAGGCCTTTATTTTAAGATAGTTTTTTTATATGATATGCAACTACTTTCAAAGCTTATTACTGACAAAATGAACAAATAACAGGGGGTGAAAAAGGAGTAACAAAAAGGGAGATGTGGGAGAGGGAGTCAGAAAAATGAGAGAAGAGGGAAAGAAAAGAAGACAACAAGGGAGAGAGGGAGAGGGGTAAGACAAGAATGGATTCCCAAAGTAGCAGGTTCAAATCCATTCTCATTATATCTCATGATTTTGTTCCCAAAAAATCAACACCAACTTAAAATCCATTTCCCTTCAAAAAAAAGAGAGAGATAGAGAGAGAAAACTAAAAGATTCATTTCCATATGGAATGTGATCATAATCAACCAAATCTTCAATTCCTAAATTTCTATTCAATATTAGGAACAAGACAGGTCCGATGTCATTAATCACAAAATCTGACCAAGTTATATCCAACTTCATATACTGAACCTAGGTCAAAATATATTTTCATATCATTAAATACCCTATAATAGCATAAAATTAACTCACCAAAAATAAACTTGGCTAGCCATTCATTATAAACCACAGCTAAAGAACAAAAGTCAAAAAACAGCAAACAAACATGAACGAGTAGGCAAACTCACCAGTAGGTGGTACAGGAGGATCATCAACTAAATTTGTTGCAGGAATAGGAATATTCTCCTGACCTCCAGATATATCCTCACAAACCAACCTAAATTAAACAAGAAAATCAGCATTAATATCATGAAATATAGTCAATATTACCTACAGAAATAGATTAGCATACACTAAGAAACTGTAACACGTACCCTCGAACTTCAGAAACAGAATCAGGAATACGTCCTCGGATAAATTGAACCTGTCACAATAGTTTAAGCAATATAAGAAACAGCATTGAGAAGCATTCACTTGAAAGATTTCAGTTATTATAATAAAATAAATAATTAGGGGATGGCAAGTGAGAATCAAAAACTAAGCCAAAGAATCCACGGGATTCAGCTACACACAGGAGCTCCAACATTACCAAAATTGAGCAGAAAACAATAAACAGGAGGATAAAAGAGCACTAAAAGCACAGAATAACACTATCAAAAAAGGATACCAACTAAAGAGTTTTTCAATCAACTATATGCTCGTACTATCTGAAGCCCATACCAGAAACTAGGCTTTAAAAATATTTCTTTAATGCTTCTACTTATGAAATAAAAACCATTAGGTTAACACAGGCTTGAGGGTACACAAAAATAAAACAGAACGGAGGAATTATGAATGATAACTGTTAGGGAGAGAAGTGTCACAAATAGATTTGGAACACTGAAACTGTTCTACCATATATGCATACATTAAAAAGATGTGCTCAAGATAAATTAAACAAAGATGCAGATCATGTAATAGCAGAACATCTAGTTGAGGCATTTCTGTAAAAAAATAAAAAATAAATTAAAAATTTTAAAAAAAAAATGAAGATATTGCACCCAAAATAAATAGTCAAGGTATGAGCTCTCATTATAAGATCCTAATCAAGAACAAAGCACGGTTGAATTGCACCTGAGCAATCCAGATAAGTTTTTTTCCCACAAGTTCTACAGCTGGAGAAAAAGCAATTTATTCTATAAGGACAAAGATTTATGCTAAACTTCAACATCAATTCTTGAGTTCATGCAGATCATGAGTTCATGACCATTACTGGTTCCCAAACACATCTCAAAATATATTACAAGTCTAAAGAAACAATGAAGACAGATAATGAGGACTTCCAAAAGTCAGAAATTCAGCCTATCAATAAATAAATTAATAGAGAGAAAGAGAACATCATGCCCACATCAACAATCTTGTTAGCAATTTAACATACAAAAATTTGAGAGAAAGCAGAAACCTGGGTGGTAGTCAACTCAGGCTGGCCTTCAAGCCGCTTCAAGCGAAACTTATAAACAGTATAACCAGAGATGCCTTTCTCTGCCCAATAATTCACAACCTGCCCAAAACATTAGTCATTTATATTAAACGCGATGTAGCACAAAAAGGAAAAGGTTCGCAGGATACCACATAAAACCTGTATAATTCCACAGCAAAAATTACTTATTGAAACATTAAACTATCTCGCATTGTTTCATCATTTGCAAGTCACCAACCAAAAATAGAAACCATTCTTGCATGAACCATGATACAAGATCATAACAACATAATAATGTGACTGATTGAATACTGTTCCAATTGAAACATAAGACATCACAAGATAAACTGCATTTATAAAAAGTACTCCCTTTAAACAAAATTAGTTACTCCCTAGTCCCTACGATATAGTGTCTGCATTCTTTTTAGGTGTCCTAGAATGGTGTGCCTATTTCTAATAATTCTATTTTCAATTTACATGTAGTATTACCGTAATACACCTATTTTTACCTTCCCTATATAAATTACCCCTATATTTCCCTAAATTTTCGCGCCACTATCTACTTTTATTATAATTTCCATATAAACTACCTATACACTAAAAGCTTCATCAAATTTACCTTTTTTGTACCTTTTCCCATGAAATATACTCTTACATCTTACTTTTAAAAATTTTACCCTCTATACAACCCTAATTCTGGTGGGAAATGATAAACGAGTACTATATTATGGGACAGAGAGTGTCTTACATAATGGAAAAGAAGTTGAGGCAACTTCTGTTATTGTAATGTCCCCCCAAATACCAACCCTCACTGAAATTATCAGACTAACAGATAATTACCTGATACAAACCATCATATGTGTACACTTTTCCAACATAACTGCTTTTAGAAGAGTGACCACGAACAACTCGCACAGGCAGTCCCTGCTCCATACTATTCTGCAAATAAACAATTATATACATTGTCAACGATACAATTTATTAGAAAATTTATACAACAAAAACAAAGCCTTAGTCTCAAATGATTTAAGGTCGGCTAAAATGAATCATCTTAAGGAACCATTCGTGAAAAGTGAAACACATTAAGTAAATAGATAGGTTAATGAAAGAATTATGCACATTACTACATAATGCCTAATTTGAAACTTTAAAAGAAAAAAGTAGCAGGAATAGGCAATAAATAAACACAGAGGCAATTTAGTAAGAAATGCCATCGAAAGTATCTATGTTTCACTTAAAATTCACAAGAGTAGTAATCAGCGGAAACTATTCAGCAATTCCAGATAAAATTCAACTTAATTTTAGATTAAAAAAAAAAGAAAAAAAAAAAAAAAACAGCAGCAAAGATATCCTGATAGTCATGATGTAACTATTACTCATTCTATTTCTAATCACTGAAAGATAACTTCCTGCAATTACAACCTCTATACATTTCAAAATCTACTCAAATCAGATATGCATACATGAACAATTTATTTACAGAGAGAAGCTAACAAACATATTCAAAAAAGTTCAATCTAGTATCTGTTTTAGCAAACCTTCAGTGCTAGATTGCCGCGCAACATTTTCTGATCTTTATTCTGCTTCTTATCACCTAGTAGATTGTTTCCACCTTGACCTGTGTAGACAATATCCTCTGAATTGTCTAAATCATCCTCATATTGGCCTGAAAGGACAATAGCAACAGCAATAGGAAAGGTATATCTGCTATATTCCTGCAAAATAACAAAAATAGAATTTCAGAAAACAGAACCATTAATAAATTCAGCATCACACTATCTCAAGAAAGAGTACAAAGACTAAAGATGATATGAGCATGTAAGGACCTTTCACGACTTAAGTAAAATACATTATCACAAAATCCCAAGTATTATTATAAAAGCACACCAAAGGTATGAAAATCTAATCTCACAGAAAAGAATGTAAAGTTCTAAAGGACCAAACAACTAAGCATCTCAACTCGCAAGATAAAATTAAGAAAAACAAAATATCAACTAGTAATACTAAAGTACATAGGAGCATGAAAAAAGTATTACTAATCACTTTTACCCTAAAAAAACAAAATTCAGCAGTCAAAGGACAGCGAGTTGATGAAATGACAAAATGCATTACCCCATTGCAATATGAGACGCCCATATAATCTATTCCATTAAGCCAGTGACTGTGGAAACCTACTGCAACCATTTCTGCCCGTGAAAAGAACTGATGGCCAACATCAACACCTGCATCCATGAAACAGCAATGGCATAAATACTACGGAGTACTTTTCATCAGTGAGACTATGTTCATTTGTTCTAGAATTTAGAGTATACTACACCTACCAGGAATAGCCCCAAACTGCTTGATGGGATACAACACTTTACCAGTATCTGACATCTGCCACATTCCATGAGCAAGGATCAAGTAAGACTTGGTTTCCAACATAAACAATTCATATGCAAAATACAGTGAGAGCAAAAGGAATTACATTTACTACACCATAAAATAATATTCCCAGATAAAACAAAGAAATAAAACTCCATAATATCACTGGCACCAACAACTTTTGTAATGGATATGCACAAATGCACAATCAGATGAAAAATTTAAATCTTTAAAAGCATCACCAGTGAGGAACGCACATCAAGACATACAGAAAAGAGTGGCGATTGTTTTAAAATGCTAGTTGTAATGCTGATGATTTACTTTACCAAGCACCAAACTTGGAACATGTGATGAAGAGTAGCACAGTAAAAATTATATTGATAGTTTGGAAGATCATTTAGAACTCTTAATTCTAGTAGCAGGTTTGAGACAAACTGTTTTCAATAGAGGAAGTAGAAAATATTTCTCACGTACTTTATGTTCTCCGCAATCTTCAGTATACCTATTTTGAAACAGTGGCATATCCAGAATCTAAGTTCAGAATATGCACAATTATGTAAACAATAACCCAAAACCGCCGTCATTATCCTGTACTCCATATTTATTCTACATAACTACTACCTTATCAGGTAGTATTTCTACATTTGGATCATTAAACGGAAAGCCAATTATTGCTCATAATTACTTCTTTAAAAGTTGATCTACAAACATAGACGTAGAAACACGTTGAAGAATGAAATAGCAATGGTTGGAAAAAAAAAATATCTAACATTATCATAAATAAGGAAATAAGTAAAGGAAAAGAAGGAGTTGAAGATGGGTTAACTAGATTCGAACTCAAGATTACAATTACAAAAACCCACCATAGGCACCAATCACTCCAGAGACACTCATTTATCAGCAAGCTGCACTCACTTATTTACCCATATTTCCCTTCAACTTGATTTTATATAAGCAACCAGGGTATGTAAGTGCATAGCCTTGGTGTTGGCTGAATCCATTAATGTTTTGAAATGGACATGTATTACTATACAGGATAAGTAGGCATTTTGGGTAGTATGATAACATCAAACTATATTTTCTATTTAAATAGGTAAATACAAAGCTTTTTTCTTATTAAAGTTCTCACATACCTAAGATATTAATTTAAAACTACACATAATTGCTAAACCACAATAAGGAAGCCTTTCAATGCTAAAATCAGCATCGGCAGCAAAATGACAGCTATAAAAATGTTATTTCTCTATAACCCCTATAAAGCCCCAAACTCTGACCAATATACAAACAAGCAGAAACATTGACACGCCTTCCTTTTACTTTACCATTAATATATAATAGCTAGAGAAAGCAATATAGTACTTGTTTTAGTCATGAATAGATTACACAACATCAGGTAATTAAAAAAGGCAACTGTGCTGTAAATAGAAGATAAAAGAAATATTGAGGTAACATAACAACTTTGTCTTTAGCAGCAGTTGTAGAATGATACTTGGAGCAAAAAAAATGAAAATTTTAAACAAAAAGGTACAGTGATTGAACAAAAGAAAACAATTTATCCTACAATTTATCCTACAAAAAGGTACAGTGTCTCTTCAAGTTCTCCGTGCATGATGTAATATTGTAGACATAAAAATCTTGGCCAAAGTTATCCTACAATTTTTTTATAACTCCCTTTGTTCCAAAGTAAATGCCACAATTTCACTTTTGAACAATTTAGATACACCACTTTGACCTGCGTTTGTGCTTTAGACAAAGACTAAATAAAATCATGTGTATAATTGTTAGAATTACAATTTTTATAATTAAAAATATTATTGGAGTAATTGGACAATGTATATTAAAGGTCAACTGCAATTGTGCTGATTGAATCGAGGCATTTATTTCTGAACGGAGGGAGTAATACTGATACTAACTTGGTTCATCTTCCTTTTTCTTTGATCCATCGTGAATGCATTGAAATTCTGCATTAATGGTTCTAGCACCCCTCACCATATAATTAGCATGTACAGGCAGCAATTGCAAATACAATCTTTGCTATGACAATGTGCATACTAGCATGTGCAGAACAAAACCAAGTTACCCTAGAATACCAGACTTGAAAAATGTCCACATAAATTACAATGCCAATACCACACAAAAATCAAGCACATCTTACCTTGGTAATTGCCTTAAGATCTGGACGTTTATGAGGTACTCTTTTGTCCACTACACCCTTCTGAGAACCCAAAAAAAACCATCAAAATCAGAAACATATGTTACAAATTATAATGGAAAAATAAAAATTGAACGTGAAGAAATAATATCAACCTTCTTCTTTTCTGCTTCAAACAGCTTGCATCTATTCTCCTCTTCCTAAAAATCATAAACAACAATAATCACATACTTAACATGTTAAAACATTACCACAATTCTTATTCTCTTGTGCTTGAACGCCTTAATCCCATAAGTGGGGTCGGAAAACAATACCACAACTCACGAAAAAAATACTTAAACATAAAACACACGCACCTGAATAAGATGCAGGTAATAGTTGTTGAAAATTCTAAGAGTCTCCTTGACTTTGTAATGATCACTCTTCTCCACTTCAACCCCATTACCATCCTTTTGAACCTCCTCTAATTTCAACCCTAAATCTATCAACCCATTCCCGGGATCGGTACCGTGACCGATCATACCCCTCATGATCTCCATCTCTGTTCCCTCATTCTCCCTTATCACTGCCGACACCTTCGCCGACTTCCGACCACCATTACTCCGCTGATTCTTCCTCTTCTTCTTCGGACTCACTTCCTCAATTTTCGCCAAAAAATTTTCATTGTACAACACTCGCTTTCCTCGTGTCCTATCACTTTTCCTCCTCCCTTCATCCACCTTCTTCTCTTCCTCCTCCACCTTCTTCTCTATCATCTCTACCTCCATTTCCGCCATTAGAGTAACCTGTGATCAACAACAATTCCAATCAAATTTGAGAAAATATCAACATCATCACAAAATCATCAAAAACTCGCAGTATATGAATCGATTACACAACAATTTCCAGCAACGTCAACAATAATACCACAAAATTCATGCAAAATGCAGTCATCAAAACAACAATATAATCACAAAATGAAAAAAACCAAGAAAAAAAAATCAAAAACTGAAGAACAACATCAGAATCAAACATTCATAAACAGGAAAAATAAAATTAAACGGATTCTTACAAATTGTTGTAATAGCAGGAAAATGATGAGATTCTTAAAAAAAAAATGATTTAGGGTTTGATGAAGAATCGGAGAAAGTTAGGGGGAAAAAAGAGGAGAGAGAAAGGTAGGCGAAGAAGCAGAGGAAGAAAGAGAGAGAAAGAGAGTATGGAAAAGAGTGAAGTAAAGAGAGAGAAGATGAAGAGGCGCGGAATTTTGAAGGAATTGCGAAAATTTGGCAAAACTGAATGTGTCTGAAAAATTGCGCCTTCTTTCTATTTTCTCTCTCTTAAATTTTGGTTTCTCTCTCTAAAAAATGTTAAAATAATGGGTTATATTTGATGGATTGATTTTGTTGGTGATGTAGTGAAGTGGGGAAGGGAAGGTGGAAGAGTGCAGGTGGCAGAAACAGTGTATTTGTTTTTCTCTCTCTAAAATATTTTGTCTTTATTTTTTAAAGATTTTGTCTTTATTATTACTGGTAGTGTAAGAAGAGGAGAGAGAGTGAGGATGTTATTTTATTACAGGGATCGAGGAGAAAGTGGGGTCGGATGGAGTCATGGAGGGATGCTGCTTGGTGTAAAAGCTGCGTTTTTTGAAAATTTCATTTTTTGGGGTTTTCTACTCCAGTTTCCAGTTTTCCACCCACTTCTTTTCATTTTCTTGATTTTTTTTTGTCTTATTTGACTTTTTAAGGTCTTAAAATGAGTCTTTTATACCCGTAAAAATTATACTAGGTTTAATATTAATAAAATATACTCATATAATGAGATGATCCTAACAAAATCTCACTTGAATATATTATATCGCTTACAGATTAACGAAAATTCATGGTCAAAGTTTTAGAAGTTAGACTCATACATTTATAAAGGGGCAAAAAATAAGGGACGGATAGAGAATTATACGTATATTCTCACTTTATTTTTAAAGATTTATATTTTGACCATCATATAATTTTAGTCAATTTAATTGATATTTATATAATACTTTCTTTGTCCTAAATATTTTTCCTGACCAAACCCGAAAAATAGAATTTAATGTCATTACTAATTTTCCGTCATAATTTAATAACTTTGACTATAAATTCTTGTTAATATATAAAATACTACTTCTTCCGTCCCCGAAAGAACGACCCATTTAGCCTATTTTTAGTCCCAAAAAGAATGACTCATTTATTTTTCCCTATATCTATTAAAATCACAAAATTACCAATATATCCTCAAATATTTTTATCATATAGCTCATTCTCCCTATTTTACCCTTGTATTTTTCCAGATCTTTGTGTCATCTCCTCTCTAAATTTCTAAACTTTTTTTTCTCTCCTGCCACTATTAATTTTTCTTGTGTTTTCCCATGAAAAGGTTTTGTGTGATTCCATTTCACAAGAGTCCGGTTTATAACGCACCCCACTCATCACAACGCAACCCTTACGGCCACCACAACCCAGAATCAGCCCCCCTCCCCCACGCCGGCGATGATGCCGCCATCTCTGACATACCCGGCCCACTGCCATCACCCTCCCTCTTCCCCTTAGAACAACACTAAAATTAAAAAAAATTGCGATACAAAATTGAGAAAAGCAAATCAAACTTTGATAACGTTAGCACAACCAGGGTGAAGAACATCGATGACCTGAAATGTAAAAGAATAAAAATAAAAAAGAGCAACGAAAATCAAATTAGAGTTTATGAAATCAAAAATTAACAATTAAAAGAAAAGAAAATGGAAAACCAAGTACTGTAAAATGACGAATTGCTTCCAATTTTTCTTTCTCCCTCTTGTTTCTCTCTCCTTGCTGCTGATTTCCAAATTCAAGGTTCTTGTTCATCGGAATTGCCCATTCACTACTCTTTCAATATTGTTTAATATCTGATATGTATATATATAACTTAACATCTGATACATATAACCTAAAATCTGACAATTATATAACTAATATATAAAGCTAAACTTTTAGTCAGGTCACGAGGCATTGACATTTGTTGTTCTAACTTTTCGCCAAGTGTCGCGTCACGTTGGATAGATTTAAATAGACCTCGTAAGATAAAAAATTAAAGTTAGGTTAGAATTTTAGAATAAATTTGTTTATTTTCGATAAAATACCAATATTTCAAATGTACAAATTCAATTATAATTTTATTAAAAAATTATTAGATTATAATTCTCAAATATTATGAAATAAATTTTTTTTTTATCATAATATTTTTTGGACGAAGGAAGTAGTTCAAAGCGTAAAACATACATTATAATATATTACTAATCGGTTAAAATAATATACTTCACAATCTAGCAAATCATATAAAGATTAAAAATTTATCTTAAAATTCAATAAACACCGGGCATCGCACGGGGCACAAAACTAGTTATCATATAATTTCTAACCATTATAATCTAATATTTGACTGATATATATATAACCTAATTTATGACAATTATAATATAATTTTTTATATTTATAATCTAATATATGACCATTATAATCTAATTTCTGACAATTAAGACCTATAATCTGACAATTATAATCTAATACCTGATAAGTATAATTTAATACCTGACCATTATTATCTAATTTCTGACACTTTTAACCTAATATCTTATATTTATAATCTAATACCTGACTATTATTATCTTATTTCTGATTTTATTTTTTTTTCTGTTTGTATGGCCGGACTCACGTGAGTCCGTTCTACACAATACTTTATCTTTTTCCATACATTTGTACTTGAAAATTATTGTTGACTTGTGTTTTCCCATACATTTGTACTTGCAAATTAAGTTTCTTAATACCCGCAAAATAATCAACCCAAATGGGTCGTTATTTCGGGGACGAAGGGAGTATATAGTCATGTGAGACCATGTTGAATTCGTCTCATTTTAAAGTATCAAGTTTTTTTTTTAATTTTTACTTGTATAGATTTAGAGATATATACTTTAAAAATGCATCTTAGATACCGTATAAAGTCAATTTTGAAAAAATAAAAGAAACGGAAGGAGTAAGTGGAATATTAAAAATTACTCCCTCCGTACCTTAATACGAAACCTCTTTTGGTTTTTGTGCGGGAATTAAGAAAGTTGTAAGTTTTTTTAAAACTAATGCTTAAAAGCACATTTGTGCATGTGGGCTAGAGAAAGATATAGAGAGAAAAAAAAAAGTAATTGGGAATAATTGAAAAGATAGAGAGAGGAAGTGTTGGGAATCGATGTTAAAAGTACAAAAAAGTGAAGGAATAAATATGACAACTCATAAAAAATAGGGTAATTATGTCAAAAAATACAGCCTTTAAATAGAAAAAGGCATTGTATTTTGGTTTACCCAAAAAAGAAAATGAGGCTTTGTATTAAAGGATGGAGGGAGTAGTAAACAAAATAGTGGGCTCAATAATTTAGTGAAAAAAGACGTAAATGGAAAGAATTGATTTTTAAAAAAAGACATAGTAGTGGGTTTGGGTGAAAATCGTAAGCGGAAGTAGAAAAAAAGGAGGGGAGAGGTTGTATAACACTTTTTGAGGGTGCTTAGAAAGGAAAAAAATTATTTCCAAGGCAAATTATTTACTCTGTGCCTGTAATATTTGAGAATATAAATATGTCAAAGTATTTGTTTCAATAAAATATTTGTAATATTTTGTTGCGTATAATATTAGTAGCTAAATATTCCAATTAAAATCTTTCCAACTCCAACTACCAAATATTCTCATCAAAATCTGCAATTAATTATTTTATTCACCATCATAGACTCATCACAATTTGAAATAGTAGAAGCTAGTGGCGGAGCCAGAAATTTCAAATCGGGGGGACAAATAGACATCACATAGTTTGAAAATTGTGTTAGGGGAAATAAATACTCAAACGTATAGATGACACATATAGTTATTAAAGAGTTAAAGTTGTACCACCAAAATATCCAAAATAATTAGTAAAAAAAAAAACTATCATATACTAACTATTGCTTCCAAAATATTTGCTTATGAGTTTAGAAATTTTTAAATTTTCAAACATAAGATAATATAGGTTATCAAATGTATGGGTTCGTTCATGCAAAATTACAAAATCAATTAAAAAGATGTAATTGTTAAGAAATAATAGCATTGTGTTGCTCATAAATAAATTTTTTTTTTAAAAAAAAGAAAAGTGTAAAATGCTACAAAAAGATTCGAGAAGTGTCAGGGTTTGATCACGTGTACATTGGTATGTATAAGACTCTATAAGAGTACCTTGAACCACTGCTCCATCCTAGTTCTTAACATAAATTTTTGCTCACATAAACATTTAAACTAGATTGATTTTCTTAAGTGGGGGGACAGTTGTTCCCCCTTGTACCCCCTAGCTCCGCCTCTGGTAGAAGCATCATTATTGAAATGTTTTAAGTATCAAGTGCCTATACATGAGTCAAATAATTTTTATCCAACTGATATGTCTATATTATATAGTGTTTTACCGATCCCCGTCCCTTGGTCATAGTTAGTAGTGTTTTTGGCTCTTTAGAGCCACTTTTATTACTAATTGGTGTTTTCTAGTGTTTTCGTAGTTTTTGTTGAGTTTTATAGGAAATTGCATCTTATGATCTTTTTCCCGGGATTATTGCGGAACGACGACTATGAGCATTGGAAGGCACGACCGCTTGCATTGGTCACTGTAGGGAATAATTTCAAGCTTTTAATCCCACTAGCTTGAACCCCACTGTGATCATACACTAAAGTACGGTGGCGTCCAAAAGGGAAGAAAATAGAGCAAAAGAGTCGCCAACAAGTTTTTTTAGGAACTTATAAACCGTTCACGAGGTGAAGGTTACACCCCTTAACGATCCAAGAGATCGTCAACTCCATAAGGTCTTAAACCAAATAAGGGTTCGGGGATGAAGGTACAAATCCAACCTAAAAGAGATTGAACCTGCCCTAATAATAGGCCTCTACTTTATTCTGATCGTATTCATGTGCGCTTTCTAATTAACATGCAATCAATAGGATTAACCCTAAACCTGTTTATCTATGTTGGTTGAATTTAATGCACAAATAAATCTATTATTGGCGATCACTAGAAATTATAATCAAATTAACCATAAACAAGATTATTAAATATCTTATTAAGCGTGATTACAAGTACCAATTCCCTTTAAACATGCATAAAAGGTGTGATTAAGCAATAAAAATAAATATCAAGCAACATAATAATAATCAATCATGAATAATAAAATTATAATCATAATAATAATCATCATAGATAAAATAATCATCATCAAAATAATAATAATAATAATATTCATAATCATAAATTATAATAATTATAATCATAATCATGTTCACGTTAATATTAAAGCATAATAATAGCAAGATCCTAGGCATGATACTAACAAGATTAATAACAAACCCTAGCATGTCACTAAACAATAAAAATCAAATCTTTAACCCTAACATGATACTAGCATGAATAAATATTAGGAAGAAAATAGGAAGCATCGCAGGAATCATATTTAATATTAAAATTACCCTAGACATGATACTAGGAATATCATAATAACAATATAAACATGATTTCTACATCATAACAACAATTAAAATCATTTAAAGTACTTACTTTTATGTCTCGTATCTCTTTCTAATAACAAAATAAACGCGTTAGTAACTTCAAGGAAAATAATAAACAAACAATTAAATTAAATAATTGAAATAGAGATTTGGGACCAAACCCTCAGAAATTAAACCTTTCACGTCTAGAGCGAAGGCAACTTCGAATATGGCTAGGCGTATCTAAGTCTTGCGAATGTGGAATTTTGTATTTGAGAAAAGGCTAGTTTAGAAAAAGAGAGAGAGAGAGAATAATCAAGAAAATCTTGATGAGAATTGGTGAATGAAAACGGAGTTTTTACGACGTTATTTATAGAGAAAATCAGCCAAAAAGATAAAATTAACAAAATAGAGCATTGGCGCAATTGAAACAGAGCTGGCGCCAACATTAGGCTATTGGCGCCAGACTCCAATGGCTAGCACTAGGCGCCAATGGCTGGCGCCAAGCGTTGATTTCAGAAATATACGCGTTTTTGTTTTTATCATATCTTTTGATCCGAAAGTCCAAATAAGGCATATAATATGTAGTTGGAAAGCTCTTAAAGTCTACTTTCCAACCCAATTAGAATCAGATTAAAATATTTTGTAGATAAAAAGATATGGCCAAAATAGTGGAAGGGTATCAGTTTTGGATAAAGTTTCATGTCTCATTTATATCTTTTTCTTTATAACTCGGATTTAATATTATAATATATCATTGGAAAGATAATTTCAAGATCTATCCAACCATATAAAATTTGGATAAATATTATGAGGCACGAAAATAAAATCTGAATATATTCCACTTCGTACAAAACAAGGATTCTTAAAAGGAGTAGTTTTATTCAATTTCAAACTCTTTAAAACATAATTATCAATTCTAACTCCATTAGGATTTAAAAGAACCTTCTAGAGTATTCTAAAAGACTATAATCAATCGTAATAGCTTTAGGAATGATAATTAATAATAGGCCCTCCTCTAGATCATTGGGCCGCATATAAAAACCAAATCGGGCCCAGTTTAGTATTTTGGCCATAACTTCTTCATTATTTATCGGAATTGGGCTTATAATATATCGTTGGAAAGGTATT